CTCTCTCTCTCTCTCCAAACTGAACCTGGGTCTTATGCATGCTAGCAAATGCTGTATTACTGATTCACAACTCAGGTGCACAAAAGATGGTTTAAAAGCACATTAAAAGGCTTCTGAGTCTCATTGTGAACTCTGGGAATTTAACATGGTTGGCAAAGGCTTCTAGTATGGAAGAATAGAGGCAGATCTTGGCTCCCATGCTGTGTAGACTTTCCCAGAAGTGTGCCCCCGCCCCCTGGAACCTTCCTGGTGTCAGAGCATCAGGTGGCTTGGAGTGACCTTTGCAAGAACTCTACCTCTTCTCACTCTTCCCTCCTCCTCTTCTTTCGTTCATATTTGGGCCAGATGAAAAAGAGAATTTGAGGTTTCTCTGAACTGTGCCAACAAATTCCAAAAAAAGCATCTCCCATTAAAACTAAAACCGGAGAAAGCACAGCCCTACCCTAAGTCACTCAGGGAACTTTGGCCTTCTGGAACTGATAAAAAGAAAAACTTTACATCCCATTCATTTTTTTCCTGTTCCTTTCTCTAGTTCTTTGCTTAGTTTTTTACTCGGAAACTAAACTTTGTTATTTTTCAATGCTGATTCTTAAGCCCAGTTCTTCCACAATTGAGTTTAAGTTTCCAGCTCCGTGGGAGGATACGAAATTATTTTTGCTATTAGAGGTTGGGTTGAGTTTTGAAATGAGAACATTCATTCTGAGTAATAAAAGGCTTCGATTCAATAATGCGAGCAGTGACCTTGCACGAACAGTCACGATGGGCCTTATGTAACCCACACAGATATTTTAAGAGCAGGACACACCAATGAGTGTTCAAGCCAAAGGTTGGAGAAGTGGGCTAAAGAAGGGAAAAAAGGATCCTTCTCATCCAGGTGACACACCCCTCCCCCAGACAGGCAAAATGACTCAGGCTTTCAAGTAGGTGACAATGCTCAGAGAAAAATATGACCTAGTGGTTTTTATCGGGGCTTCTCAGTTGGCTGTTGTTAGGGCTTTTGATGACCAGGCATCCCTGAGGAATCTGGGTATTTTGGGCCTTTTCACAGAGTGGTCCAAAGGTCCCTGCTGACAGTTCATAAGAAACCCTGTGAATGTCTAGATTCCAGCCTTGACATTCACAAAGGCGGCGGTAGAAAGAGTTGAATTCTGATGAAATCACTAGGGGAGGCCCAGCCCCAGAGATACGTGCACAAGCCCCAGGGGCTGCTGGGAAGAGCACTTCTTCACATTCAGAATCAGTGTCGGTCTTCTGCTGGGTCAGTCTAAGTTTTCAGCCACAGGTGCACAACCAGATCTCCAGGCTCTTTGTCTGTGTTCCCCCTCCCTGGAAACCGGAAGTGTCGGATGGAGGTTTGGTTCTCAGGAAGAAGCCAGGGTTTCTGAGGTTTCTTCAGGCTGATTTCTTCCCGCTGCTTCTTCAGCTGAATGAGAAAGATTGTCTCAGTCTCCTTTGTTCAGTTACAGTCTGGAATCAGCCAGATAATGAATGTGCTCAGAGCTGTAGGAAGGCTCCCAAAGCCCCCGGGACTATTACCCTACTGAGGAGGGGCCTTGCCATTAGGTCCTCTGATGCCGTTCTGCCATTTTCTGTGCCCACAGAAGAAGCTCATAGGGATTATGGATGGCAGAAAACAATGCTGGAGTTTGACTCAGTGGACATACAACACCCCTACAGCATGTTCCTTTAAAGTGACTCTTCGGATACACTCAGGATGACATGCATCCTCCATGCCCCATGCCATATATGTGGCCTTGACATTTTTTTTCAGTCTCCACCATGGGCTCCTCTTCCTTCATTAACATGCCAGGCTCAATTTGGGGGTCCTTAGTCTGTCTATTTCCCCCGCCCCTACTTTATGGTAGGACTGGGGCTTAAACTTGGAACTCTCGGGTTCTAGACCATCACTCCACCACTGAGGCATCTTTAGCATTTTTCCCTTTTCAGCTGCAGCCTGTGTTTGTCATTTAACCAAAGACGAATCTCAGCTCTGTGTCTCAAGTGCCGGGAGCAGCAAAAGTGAACACCGAATCAAAAAGGGACTCGTTATTGACACTTAAATGACGAGGCTCACTCAAAAGGAGAGCACAGCCATTTTCACCCGAAGCGGGGAGTTTGCTGGTGAATTTTCTTACAGTGGATGTGGGGGGTCCATTGACCTGTGTTATAGCTTCATAAAAACGTCCTTGGCTGTGTGTCACCTCTGCCCCTTCCCACTGAACTCTCCTAAACTCTGCTCTCGTCTGTCCGCTCATCAACCCAACAGGAGAACAACTGAATCCGAGGACTGCCTTTGCTCCCACGTTCACCTTGTACTCAGGTACAGAAGACGGAAAGTCAATGTCTCCCAGGCTGTGGACTGAGATCAGCGAACAGGGGGAGAAGCTCATTTTATCTGACTTGTCATCGACAGGTTTGGTCACGTCCATGTTCCCCTCTTTCTCTCAGTGGTGGTGGCGGTGTTGGGGACTTTGTAGCAGGAATCTTAAAAGTTCTTATTAATAAAATCAAACCCGAGGCCGGCTATTGGGGTAAATACTGGAAGGTCAGAGAGACAGAACAAACCATAGCTATCTCACCTCACCAGTTCCTCAGCTGGTCCTGTTTCCTCAGACTGGAAGCCTCTGAGTCCTCATCCAGAATGAATCTCAGCTGAACTGTGTTGCTCCAAAGCCTGAA